TTGCAGATTAAACGTACAGACCAGGTTGGGTCCACACTACAACAACTTCGCGTTTAGTCTTTTGTATTCTGTCATATTATCAGAGAGGAAACACTGTTGTGGTCAGTTTTTAAATTTCATAACTTATCGACAAATGATTCACTTTTCCTCATTATACAGGGTGGTGGTCCGAATTGCATTCCGGAAACTTCAGCAGCATATTCTGTAGATAAAAATAAGTAAAAAACTTCGTATAAATGTATGTCCTAAAATGCTTAGTTTCGAAAATACAGGGTGTAAAAGTTTAATTTTTATTTCGATTTTTTCCAAGAAATTTATAAAGTAACGTCAATATTTGGATGAAAATTGGTGTCTGGGTGTTTTTTGACATCAGCAGTTTGATTTTATTGTCAATATGACTCCTACTTGTAAAGGGTGTCATCTACATCATTTTTAACTGGTTTGAAGAGTAATAACTTTTCGTTCGTACCTGCATAAAACTACTGCATAAAAAATATACCTTTACTCGGAAACTCTGTGCATCTCTCTCATCCGCAGAGGAGAAGATGCAGAGATGCTTTGAGGAAAGTTGTAGAATGTTTGGAAATAGACGAGATACGTCTTATTATTAAATATGGTTCTTTTTTCGTGAAAAACTGATATAAAATATGTAAAATTCTTTAAAATGTTCTGGATTTTGAGTCTTAAGGACTTTCCACACGCAAGGACTTACCGTACGATTTGCTTGCGTAGACAAAACGTTGCATATTAACCATACAGACCAAGCTGTGGCCACATTACAACGACTTGTTTTTCAGTCTTTTGTATTCCCATGTCATGTCATCATAAAGGAAATACTGTTGTGATTAGTTTTTGCTGTTTGTTTAAATACATTTATAACAGGCAAGTTAAACGTCTGTGTCTAAAAGAATACCTTGATTATTTAGAAAATTAAGTAATTTTCATCCCCAGCACCTGAACGAACAGATTTATTAAATTTTGATAATTCTATTTTTTGTAAACAGTTCTGTGAATATTTTTTTTTCGTTACTGTATCCCTAGTCGATTCAGGGTCCATCTCCTTGAACTTTCCAATAATAATCTCGTAGGCCTGATTTTCCGTTTCCCTCTCATTGTATTCCTTTGATTTTACTCGCCATAAGCAAGAGAAACTTTTGTACAGTTCAATAAACTCTCTGAGAAACTCATGTGAACACTGCCGCAGGTCAAACATTATTTGCATTTGATTAGCCAAATAAAATTAGTAGGAGAATAGCGACCAGACACTGTTATATCATCGTCATCATCATTTTCAGTATGAAAACAATTTCCAATTATGGTGTAGCCCCCCTCGCATGTTTAAATACCCTCTTTGTAGTTGGGTCAATGGTTGTCTATTGTTGGCTATGCGGGCCTAAGTTATGCTGTAATTTTTGTGGTCCATCTGTTTTCCGTCCTTCTTGCCAGGTGTCCTGCTCATTGCCACTTAAGTGATTTGATTCAGTGGATGAGATCTATTTCCTAGGTCTTTTTTCGTGTCCACTCTATTCTTTCGCGGTCTTTTTTGGTTATTCCCAGCATATTTCGTTCCATTGAGCGTTGTGCGACCTGCTCACTTTTATAAATATACAGAAATACAATTTAAATATCATAATTTATCGGTATGTGATTCACTTTTCCTTGTTCTATACTGAAAAAATAAAAAATCCAGAAAAAATACTGAAAATTAAAGGAAAAATTCCAAATGCAGCAAAACCTTATTCATATAATCATTTAATCTCCTTTAAGGGAAAGATAGACCTAGGCATTATAACATTTCAAAGAAAAATAGCTTGGAGACGTTTTTGATAAAATAAGAAAATATTCTTCCGTATTTTGGTAAAAATAAACAATAAAAAACCAATTCTGAGGCAAGACACAAGCATAAATTTGATTTATGTTAAATCATAAAGCCAAACAGTCAGGAAAGTATTTTATAGAAAGTTTTTCAATAAAAAAATAAACGTATCATCAAACTTGGGATACAAAATACCAAAATCGTCTTTGTTAAAACTTTATAATAAGGGACACAATTTAAAAATCGGGGGCTAGGTTTTATACCTCCCTTACATACGGCCGAGAGTTTTGAGGCCAATTTGCTGGTGCGAGGCCCGTCCAGCGATCGAGAATTGAATTTTGCGACGCTTATTAAAAGAGGGAAAAAGTTTCGAAATTAAAGAACGCCTGTCTGAATGAGAATAAGAAGAAGAGAAGAATTTGTCATTTTGAAGTTTTCCTGCTGCTTTTTTTGTCGTTATGGTTAATTAAACAAGCTATGTGATTTTATAATTGCGAAAAGTGTTAAAGATCTATGTTATGATCTGTTCCCCTTTCTTGAGTTATAGTTCATCATACAGTCTCAAGGCTTTGACAAAATCCATTACCTGAGACGGTTTTACAGATGGTAGTTCTCCATATCCGATATCAGTCGTTTCCAAATCTCAGCGCACTCTGTGATGAAGTGTTTTGGTGTTTCCCATTTCCCCAGAGAATCTGTATTAGTCGTTGTTTCATAACTTCAACCTACTCTAAGGTAGGGTTGCCAACCGTCCTCTATTCCAGAAGACAGTCCTCTTTTTGATCTCACTGTCCTCTTTTCTCTGACGCATTGAAAAAGTCCTCTTTTTTCTACATACCAAACTCAAAATCTAAAAAATATTCTTGTATCGCCACAATGCTTTAAAAAATTGTTAACCTGCGACCTTCGCTACTCCCGCTTGTTTGTACAGAAAAGAAAATTAAGAAATATTTATGTACATATTTGCGTTTGAACATGTTTAACTAATTTATGTTTATTTACTTGCTTGTATTAAAAAAAAGTTTTGTTGAAACGGTTTGTTTTATTTTAACAAGTTTTGAGGGAAAACCTAAATTTATCAGAAAATAATATACCTCGTAATATGCCTGTATGCCTGTATATGATGTATAGACTTCTCTTAGATCAAAATAAATTTTAGTTGAGTCAATGGTATTCGCTATTGGTTTAAGAAAAGTGTCTCTTTAATCAAGCAATGTCCCTTTTCAATCAAGAATTTTTGCATGAATCAAAGAGACTATTGTTCTTGTAGCAAGAACTTCTTTGCATATTAATTTTGGGTCAAGAGTGAAATACTTTGGACAGATAGATTCTTCTATTCTCTAAAATATTTTTTTAAAGCATATGAAAAGATAGCTAATGCTTTGGGCAAAGAAACGTCGTTCTTGGCCGTATTGAAAAGCGCCAATTTTTTGAGTCAAAGTCATATTTATTTCGACTGAGAGATCCTTTTTTTCAGTGCAGCGACTATTAAAAAAGCTGTGTGGTTTTCATAGATAATAAGGGCACCTGTAATTCATTTGAAAATGTTATAAATCGCTAAAAGAGGTTTCAAATCTCTTGGATTTCTATTAATATTAAATAAATTTTATTTTAAGATTGAACTAAAATTGTTAGTATCATTAAAAACAATTCAAATTCAAAATTTGTATCAGTCAAATTCCCTCATTGATGGTGAATATTATAGTGAATATAAATACAGCTCATTCTAAGCTCTATTTATCTTTAAGAAAAATTTAAATCATTGGAATAATTGGGCCTTAATGTCATTTCGAACGAATAATAGTATTAATAATGTACATTATAATAATAATAAATTTTATATCATAGTGTGTATTAAAACTACTGAAACACTTTTAAATTGGTATTATATTAACAACTTTTGTTTTTATAATCCAAAAAAAAGTAACAAATTTCTCAATCAAAATATTTGTGGTCCTGAAAAGGACATTTGTTTTCCCATGTTCGTCAAGGTAGGTAATGGGTAAACGGTAAAAAAACAGGATAATGAAATTTAAAAAAATACAAAAATTGTTCAAAAATGCCTCCCTCTTGCATTAAACGGCCCAAACGATCATAAAATCCCCTCCTCACATTGGATAACACACTCCTCACATTGATAAGTGTCAAAGGCATTAAATATTTTCTGCCTTAACTGCTCCAATTTTTGAATTTCTTCATGGCCGTAAATTTTAGATTTTATGTACCCCATAAAAAGAAATCATTCACCTAGAAGTCAGGTAGGTCAGGTGAAATTAAACGTCATGTCAGTCTAAACAAAACTGTCCTTTTTGAAAACTTGTCAAAATTTGGACACACGCTAAATTGACTTGATTTTCCTGTCTCGAAGTCTTGATTTGTAATTTAAGTTGATTTTCACTTGGTCAAGTTAGTGGAAAGCTTTTCTATCCGTGAGTAGGAGGACTTTATTTCCTTTGATTAACTTGATACATAATATAACAGTCTACGAGACACTTTCTCTAATTCTATACCAAAATAATAAGAAAAAATAACGAAATATAAAAGAAAATCCTTCTTCTCTACTAAAAACCCTAAACAAAACCACCTGAAGCTTGTTCCCTATATTTATTCCTTTCCCTTACCCTAGTTTTTCTCTGACGTTTTCCCTTAAAGGAGAAATAGCCCCAATTTCTGCTCCACGGTTTTATCCCCTGGATTCCATCCCTAAAAATGATGACCCATTCAAATAAACCATCAGACAAAAAGCGCGTGTGGCGTGCCATTTTTAATCCCGACCTAAATCGAACGCTTCCGATGAAAAGGAAATGTTTTTCGATACTCTGGTGGAAATGGACGATTTTTCACGACTTCTGGATGTATGAAGGATGAAAAACGAAAGGAAAATGGCCAGATTTATGTTATTTATATAAAGGACGAATTATGGTGTTATTAGATTCTTTTTTCTTTGTTAATCATACGGGAGCTATTACTATATTGAATTTTTTGTTTGTTTTAACATTGGTTATAAGAGCTGATAAGTAATCGAATGTCTTATTGCCACGAGCAAAATCAGAATAGTGAACTATTTCAATTATTGTTATTAAAATAGTATTAAAATAATACAATGCATAGTTGTTATGACAAATTTCACGTTCTCATGTGACAAATCTGGATATAAAATGCAAAAATATACTTTTGTACTTACCGATATTCCGTGCTGATATGATACTTTAGAAAAGTTCGACACTGGATTTCATCGATTTACATTTTTCGAGGATGTGTCGGCACATAATATTATCTGGTTTTGATGTCAGGAAAACAGGAAATATGCCGACAGGAAATACGACACGAAACTCTGAAAAAGAAATTAAATATTTTTATAGCTGGAAAATATGAATACTTTTGCTTGTATTATACTAAAAATATTAGCAGAAGTAATAAAAAATGTTTTGAATAGGGGTAAAAATTATCGTAAACAATATTGTCTGTATCAAGAGCACTAAATACTTTTTACTTGAGTAAAAATCTTCTCGATATTAAATATAAAATAGCCTCTACATTATACGGAGAATTCTTCGAAACAGGCCAAGATCGCATTTTGTCGACCAACTTTGTCGCATTTGGATTTATTTCCAGTTTTCTTGGCCCACTTCGGTTTGCCTCGACCTATTTTCGAGTCTTAAAAGCGCCTGAAAACTATTCGTGAGGAGGGCGTGGGTTTTTTTGGAGTTTCCTGTTGCCTCGTTCAATTCTGTTTTGTCTTGAGCTATTTCCAAAACGTGGCGGTATCTGTACCCGGGGCAAAGGATTTTTTTTTCATAAATCTCAGTGAAATAAGTAAAGCTAGACGTTTCTAAAATAGCTGTTGTTAGGATGACATTTCGTTAATTACATCTCGTTTAATATTGGTATATATTCCACAAAATTAATATTTGAACACGCCTTTAAAATATGTAGAGTAGATATTTAGTAACAAAATTTTGACTCACTCTACAAGAATATAATTACAGTATGTTTATTATTGATTTTAATTTATTTAATGAATTAGTATATAAAATTGTATATCGTCGGACGGGACATAGGAAATCCCAAGTAAATTTTAATGGGGTCAAGTATTGGCTTCCCTAATTATTTTAGAGAATAATTCTATTTAGGTTTATTGAAGAGCACTAAAACCCACATTCAAAAGAATAACTTTAGATATTTTTGATTAGCTCGTTTACGAGTTATCGCCGATTTCTTTTTAAATATTTCTCCTTTCTTATGGCCCTGTATTTACTTATGAGCACCAGTCAAGGTAAAAGATAACTGTCAAATGAAGTTGTCATTTCAGAAATTTACCTATTTAGTGCTTTATTATTATTGAAAACTCATTCCTACATCGGAAATCTTAAAGATGTATTTTTAAATACAAATTAATATGAATTAAAGTAAAACAAAGTAATCAATTACAAGGTTAATTATAGTATTATTACAATATTCAATAACTTATTAATTTAGGTACTATTAAATTGTTAGAATTTTAGGATTTAAGAAGATATTCAAATATTCCTCCATCGACTGCTAGACAATAACCCAGGCGATCATAAAATTCTCTTCTTACATCGCTAGTTGGTAAACTGAAATTCTATTGCATTCGACAGAAATAGCATTTTTTAACCCGTCTAGATTTGGGTATTTTTTATCCTTGTATATCCTGTTTTTTAAATGGCCCAGAGAAAGAAATCATTTGGCGAAATATCAGGAGACCTTGCTGGCCAATTTACTGTATGATTTAGGCCAATAACGTTTCCGTTAAAACTATTGTCTAAATATTCCCAAACAGCCAGGGTACTATGTGCCGGGCAGCCATTCATTTGGTACCAAACATCCTGATTTTCCCTAGCGGCATCATGTAAAGCAGGTAAAATATGCTTTTCGAGTAGTTCCAAATAATATTCTGCATTTAAATTTCGGATAAGAAATAATGGCCTGATAATATTGTGTCTGAATATCCCTACCCAAACATTTACTTTCTGTGGATATTGCGTCCTTGTTTCGACAAACCTGTGTTGGTTTTCTTTGTTCCAATATCGATAATTTTAAACATTGGGTTCATTATTTAAGGTAAACGTGCATTCGTCAGTAAAACATATGTTTTTTAAAAATTCCCTATCCGTGTTTGCTCTTTCCATCATATCAAAACAAAACGCCTGTCGCTGTATTTCGTCCCCATCTCGTAGCTCTTGGTGCTTTTCATATTTCAAGGAATAGTCTTTATGTCGTTTCAAAATTCGAAACGCTGTAGTGTGATTTATTCCTATTTCATCCTCAAGTTTCCTTGTGCTGATCTTTACATCGTTCTCTTCCACGCACACTAAAACTTCCAAGTAGGTATCATTTCTTGTATATCTTCTCTTTGTTCCTGCCTTGCTTCACATCTGCAGTTATTTATTAGGGTACCTTTGGTCTCAAATCTCTGGATATTCCTTGCGATTGTAGAATTTCCAGGTATCGGTCTATTCGGATACAGAGCAGCAAACATATCCGACACCTTTTGATAACTATTTCCTTGATAATATCATTTAATCATCAATACTTTTTCTTCGGTAGTGTAATTCATGGCTAATATTTTCGATGTAGGTATGAGTAGGTTATTCCTTGCGATTGTAGATTTTCCAGGTATCGGTCTATTCGGATACAGAGCAGCAAACATGACCGACAACTTTTGATAACTATTCCCTTGATAATACCATTTAATCATCAATGCTTTTTCTTCGGTAGTGTAATTCATGGCTAATATTTTCGATGTAGGTATGAGTTTTTAATAATAATAATAAAGCACTAAATAGATAAATTTCTGAAATGACAACTTCATTTGACAGTTATCTTTTACCTTGACTGATGCTCATAAGTAAATACAGAGCCATAAGAAAGGAGAAATATTTAAAAAGAAATCGGCGATAACTCGTAAACGGGCTAATCAAAAATACCTAAAGTTATTCTTTTGAATGTGGATTTTAGTGCTCTTCAATAAACCTAAATAGAATTATTATCTAAAATAATTAGGGAAGCCAACAATTGACCCCATTAAAATTTACATGGGATTTCCTATGTCCCGCTCGACGATGCAACACCCAGTATGTCATTATTACTTTGATTCCAAAAATACCTAGTAGACCTATTATATTCACGGAATATTGGAACACCCTGAATAATATCAAATACGTCTTAGATCCCTTGTATCAATTACGTCATTACACAAGCATTCAAAATATATAACAATGATATCAACCACTTCTTCAAGTAATAAAGTCAAAGTAAAAAAGTAAAGGAATTTTCAGTTTTTTTAAAATAAAATAACATCCTTAGTTTTTGACAATTTTTTTTCTAAGGTTGAGCACACAATAAAAATATACTACTCCACGCTTTATATTCTAACATAATACAAACTCCACCTTTTACGTTACAAAGTTCCTTTTGAAATAAAGGCTTTGAAAACGAAGCATTTTAAATAAAAATGCACTCTCCAAGGCTGTTATATTTTCACGGTTTGTTGTGTTTCAAGAAGCGAAACGCTGACAATGTACTGAACAACAAGATCTTTATAGAAAGTTGTTAAAAGTTTACTGTTCTCGCTTGTAATTCAAACTTAAAAATGACACGTTTTAATGTTAATAATCGTGACAAAGACTATAACAGTCAAAAATTTAGTGTCTTCAGTTGATGTACATTTTACATTGAACGAGGTATTTTTAAAATAAAGCTAGTAAGTAGGTAGTTAAAGAAAAATAATGGGGAAATTTTGATTAAATTTATTATGTTTTGTTAGAAATTTAAACATAGACACCAAGAAGAGCACAGTAGTGATCATGAGAACTAGCTATACCGGGTGCGTCTTAAAAGTGACTCATCTCTATAGCTTTTTTATTTTTTCTACAGACGTATTCACTGGGAATGATAACAGCTTTTGATTTTTAAATGACAACCTCGGTATTTTTTACTTTATTCGATAGAAAATGACACTCTGAATAGAATGACATATTATCATATCTCAATTTTTGAGATTTTTTGAATATGGTTTATTTGAAATTGTAACATGCGGTTCATAACGACAATTTGGCGCGAAATAACAAGTGCGTGGTATCAAATTATTCGTGAAAAAATGCTTTTTCCAAATGTGCTAATGAGCCATCCTTGTTCTAGTTGAAAAAATTGAGATATAATTAAAAATAAGATTTGGGCCTCTTTTAACCAGCCAGGAAAGACACGACAAACATTAGACGATCAAATATATTTTTCCAAGTTTTTAACACAACTATGACAATTACAGTTGAGGGTTGGAACCTTTGGTGTTACACAACAAAATAAAACACTAAATCACCACAATACACCAAAACACTTTTACTTTTACACTGGACGCGCGTTTCGCTAACCATGTTAGCATCATCAGCAGATGATTATAAACTAAAATACAATCTACAATTGGAGCGTTTATATACACAGTTACATACTCAGTGGGCACAGAGTGGGCGTGGCAAGATCTAGCCAACCGAGTCAGAACCCATTGAGCGTAACAGTTAGATTTCCGCCACTAGAGTAGTAGGAACAAAGAACTTGAAGGAATTGGACCGTTGTCTCTGTTCATACTATCTTTACATTTATTAATTCTGATGCTTTCATATGCATCTAATTGCCTGTAATTTGAGACTTGTTTAGTTAATTTCAAGTTATTAAGATCTATACAATGTTCTTTATCAACAACATGTTCGGCAACGCAAGATTTATCCGGTCTACCATATCTTATCTGAGCTAAATGTTCTTTAAATCTAGTTAATATTGATCTTCGAGTTTGCCCAACATATTTCTGATTACAATCTTTACAAGAAATTTCATAAATACTCGACCTTTCCAGTAGAGGTGTTTTATCCTTGAAACGCGCGTCCAGTGTACAAGTAAAAGTGTTTTGGTGTATTGTGGTGATTTAGTGTTTTATTTTACAACTATGACACTCTAGATTGAAATTTAAAAACTATTTCTAAGCGAAACTATCAAAAGTTGACATATGGTATGTCATTCTATTCAGAGTGTCATTTTCTATCGAATAAAGTAAAAAAATATACCGAGGGTGCCATTTAAAAATCAAAAACTGTAGTCATTTCTGGTGAAACAGGAAGTGACCAAAAACAATTGAATGCGTCAATCAATCCTAATTTATGTCATATACTACATACCAAATCATGCTTTTTTTAATTTAAAGTATAAACTCATACAAAAGACAAATTTTACCCAAGTCTTTTAATAAAAAATATTTCATCTGGTAGCACTGTACATGAATATGCTTTGAAATAAATATAGTAATAAATATATTTACGT